AAACAATTGTTTCTGAATTTTTACCAATTGTTATTGGCCAGCAGCATAGCGAACAGTCTCATTATTAGCGACTTTATTGCGAACAGCTGATTCGGGACAGCTGATTCATGTGTGTCGGCCACCGGTAAATACTAAATGAGCGAAGTGTTCAAAATGCTTGTTCACAACTATTTGCACTTCTAATTAGTACAATGATATGAAAATGATATTAAGAAAAAAAATTTTTTAAATGTGTTGCAGTCATATATACATATATATAGATATGTACATATGGTTGTCTGTGCTTGTGTTTTTACAAAGCTGTAAAATAAAAGAATTGCAATAGCAGCGGCTTTGCATGAGAAAGCTTATGTGTATTCACGTTTATGTCTATACATACATACATAACTACATATATACATCCATATATATGTATTTACAAATATTCCATGTGCATTGTTGTGCGATTTAAGCTTAAAAAAAATGATCAAAATGAACTATAATTAGATGTTAAATGTCTGATTTGCCGTGTACATTTTATCAGCACGAAATTAGATGCATACATTATGTACATACATACATACAAACTCATAAAAAGATCAATTGTGAATTAGATAAGTTTTCCGGGTTGATGTAAAGCTATTTAATTGCTTTTATAATGCAACATCTGTTGAATTCAATTCAAATTGTTGACATTTTTTCCAAGTGTAATTAGAATGTTAAATGCAAAAACAAATCATAGAAATTATTTACAAATTGTTGTGAAGCGTTAATTGGTTTTGTTGAGTTGTATTTTGCTTTCTCCAGGAAAAAAGGTGAAAATTGGGATTTCCAAAAAAAAAAAAAAAAAAAAAAAAAAAAAAAACAAGAAGCGAATAAATAAAAATTAATTTCTTGCCACTGTAAAAAGCATTTCTCTGTCTCATTAGTGATTGGTAATTTGGTTTTAACGCAGTTGCCAATGGTCATTATAATTATTGTTACGAATGCAATGAAATAATGCAACCAATATATATTAAAACTTATTGTTCCGCACGTGGCAAATTTTTTTTTTTTTTTTTTGAGTGTACATACATTTGTATGTACCTGGTGCACCATCTGTATGTGGTCAATGGAAATGTTGAATAACTTCAACAATTTTCAATGGATTTTAATAAACTTTTTTTATTATCAAATTTAAAGCGATACAATTTTTTCCAGGTAGGTTCAAAAAACAACATCGACCAAATGACCACCCTTCATTGCCCAAGCGAAACTTCGCCCTTTTTTTGGAATTTTCCATGGTAGTTGCCAGCATCTCGAGCGATATCGGAGCGATTTCAGCTCGAATGTTGTTCTTCAGCTCGTCCAAAGTCTTTAGTTTGTTGGCATAGAGTTCGCCTTTTAAAAAGTCCCACAAGAAAAAGTCTGGTGCAGTCAAATCGGGCGATCTTGGTGGCCAGTCGATATCTCCTCCTTTCGATACCACACGTCCGCTGTGTGACATGTGTTCAAACCAAAAGCTTTCCAGATCTTCTTCACGCATCTCTAGTAAAACAAAGTGCGCCAATATTCACCGCTACCGATCCCCGTTGACAGTTTCCACAACTTTGAAGAAGAACAGCGCAATGATGGTTTTTGGTCAGACTTCGACATGACATGATGATTTTCTTTCCCCAAAAAGGAACAGTTTTGTTTATTTACACTACCAGAGGCCGTAAGATGGGTCTCATCAGTTACTTTTTCCGAGACGCACGCTGAACGATTGCACTCAATGTACACTGCAACTATTTTCGCACGTTCTCTGGTCGTAAGGCGATACATGGCTGCAATTGCATTGGAATAACCTTTCCAAAAAGAAATTTACTGCACTCATTCGGTTGAAATCTGTCAAAGTTATTCAATGTTTCCATTGACCACATAAAAAATGGCGCACCCGGTATATATGTGCTTTTTATACATGTACATGAAACGTTATATTAAGATTCCTCTAAAAAAAAATTCAAAAAATCGAAGTTTTTCTTCCTGTAAATTATTAGAATAAATATGAATATATAATATATGTATATATTTGACGCTATGTGACCGCTGAAGCGACTTTTAGCCGAGCTCCTTCTCCAAACTAGAAAATACTCTCAGAAATAATATAGAATTAGTTCCGTAGATCCGCAAAACTTAGAAGTAAATATAGAAGAGGGTACAGCGAAGCACACCAAGCGTTAAATCCGGCCGAGCAAATACTTTGATCGCCTTTTTCTGGAAATCACATTTTTTCAACTAGGTGACACTTTTATTTAGAAAGTATTGAAATTATCAATATGAACTAAAATATTTCTCTATGGTCGGTACTACAACCAAAAATATTCATTGTTATTTAAAAAATGTATTAACAATTAAAATTGAAAAAAGGGGAAAAAATTAAAAAGTCCGCAATTTTTTTTTGTTGGACGTAGCCAATGTGAAACAGTATAAGAAACAGGTTTGAATTTTGCTTTCAGCTGATTCGTTTTACAGTTGTTAAGTCACTCACCAACAAAAGGGACGTGTTTCAGCGGCAACTTTAAGAATCAACATTAAAAAAAACTTGTTTTTCAATTGATATTTTTATACGTCTACTTATCTGCAAAAACTTTGGTTTATACAATTTTTTTTTAATAAATAAAATTTGTTCAAAAAAGCACGTTTTTTTTGGTATAATCTGACTTTGGTACGAAGTATGTAAGTACAGGAAGGAGAATCTAATAAATTGTATATATGATCTAACCACGTTCGTCTTTCCTTCAGTTTTTGAGATAACTCAACCAAACTTGGCACTCAAATGCACTGTTATGTTTAAACGATCGTAAAAAAAGTGAAATTAGTTACGATGATAGAGTCAAGTTCTAAGTAAAGAAGGTAAGTCACAGGTTGAGATTGTCCATTACGGTAGCGGATGACGACTGGTCAAAAGAAAACAGTCGTAGTTGAAACGCAATCAGCCGGCACAAATGGTATCCAAGTTAGCAGTGATGGTCAGAAAAGTCTTGTTGTGTGTTTGGTGGGATTGACAAGGACTCGACCACTGTAAGCTCCTCACCTATGACCAAAATTTTTATTCTGACCTGTACTGTCAGCATTTGGACCGTCTGAAGTAAGTAATCGCTCAGAAGTAACCAGCTTTGGCCAACAGGAAGGGAATTGTGTTTCATAAGAATAACGGCAGAACACACACATCGATAGTGACTCGCCAGAGATAAAAAGAGCTTGACTAGAAGGTTGTTCTACATCCACCTTATAGTCTGGACCTCACACCCAGTGACAACCATCTGTTCCTGCCTATCAGAATTGACTTGGATGGTGAGGAATTCGCATCAAGAGAAGCTTGTGAAAATCGATTGTACTATTTTGCCAATAGAGAGAATGATTTCTATGAGAGGCATAATGACATTACCTTCATTCTAAGGCTCTCAACTTAAAGCTAAATTAATGGACTACTTTTTACTAGTCTAATATTATGCTAAAATACCAAAATCGATTTGAAATAACAATCGTGGGATCCAATATTAATTTACTAACCTAATGTTTACATTTCACAGCAGCAGCAGCAAAATAGCTGAGCTGCCAACTTCAGTTTTTCTGATTTTAAACATTTGTATACTGTTGCTTCGTTTTCTAAAAAAAACTTTGGAGAACAAACGGTCTGATCTCGCTTTATGGAAACCAAAAGCGTTGTGCAGAAATATTTTAATCCTAGAATTATTAGATCATATTGGTAAAGTAAAAGGTTCGTTCGGTTTTTTATTGATTTTTCAAAATTGATAACTTTGTGTACATTTTTCCGATTTAAGTCAAATATGCGCCGTTTTGTTTGTAAACTTGCTGCCAACGAAATTCCAAATTAATTATACCCTCTCTTAGGAGGCTCCGTCCCTATTGGCAAAAGACTCGGAGATCCAATTTTCACAGGCCTCTCTTAAGGCCAACTTCTCTACATTAAGCGCGTTTGCGATGGATAGTAAAAGATGGTAATCACTTGGTGCCAGGTTCGGGCTATGAAGTGGGTGCATTAGACCTCCCATCCGTGGTGCTGGAACTTCTGGCGTGTCACCAAAGACGTGTGTGGCCTGGCGTCGTCCTCATGGAACACAATTCGGACTTTGTTGATCAAAGATGGATTCTTATGGATGAGTGCTGCCTTCAAGCGGTCCAGTTGTTGGCAGTAGAGGGCCGAATTGAGCGCTTGGCCATAGGGGAGCAGCTCGTGGTAGATGACTCCTTGTCAATCCCACCAAATACATAGCAAAACCTTCCTGGCCGTCAATCCGGTCTTGGCCACCGTCTGGGCCGCTTCCCCGAGTTTGGACCACGACCGTTTTCACTCGATGTTGTCGTGACTCATTTTTCATTGCCAGTCACAATCCGCGTCAGAAACGGGTCGATTTTGCTGCGATTCAGCAGCGATTCGCAGATAGAAACTAGGTCCATCATGTTTTTTTGTGTTAGTTCGTTTGGCACCCAAATATCGAGCTTCTTTTTGAATTGAAGGTTATGCAAATGGTTCCAAACGGGTTTCTGGTTTATCTTTAGTTCCTCAGCAATTAAATAAGTGCTCACGTGACGGTATGTTTCCACTGTTTTCATGATTTTATCGCAGTTTTCGACGACAGGCCTCCCGATGCGTGGCACATCTTTGACATAGAAATTACCGGAACGGGACCGAGCGAACCACTTTTGTTCTACACGTTCGTTTACAGTATCAGGCCTTTAAACTATTGTAAATTAATTTTTTCAGCCTTTCGCCTTGATCTAAGAAAAATTGTAAAATATAGCGAATTTTCCATTTGCTGGTGTCCATCTTTGACGAGCGCCCACAACGTACCGAGCCAATCAATCGAAGAACTGTCAAAGACAAACTTTTAGCGCGAATAAACACGTTTCCAGCGCCGTATAGTGTGATATGATGCGACGTGTATGGACAATAACGCCATCTCTTAGATAAGAACCGAACGAAGTTTTTAATAAACCTAATATAATGCTTAGTACTGACATTTAAATTGCATGTGTTTGTATATTCACTGACACCTAACTACCAACATTTTATTTCAAATATTTAGGTTACTTTCGATTTCAGGCCATTCGCCATTAACGGCTTAACATCCGACGGTTCAAAGCCACGAGTCTCCGGTACATATCGCCATGTCAATAGAAAACAGTATATGCAAACTCCACCACAGGGTAAAAAGCAAAATGGACCAATGAGACTCTCCAATGGCGGGAAACACATACCGATTAAAAAATTACCTGTCCAAAAAGAAAAGTTGCCCGTAGCCATGGCCACCGTACGTGGAGGCAGCTCAAAGAGCTCTGTGAAAGAAAGAAATATATGTTTAGGCAATTCAACAGAAACTATGGAAGTTACCTGTTCCTATGAAGAATGGTATAGGACCCAAGCCAAAATTGAAAAATACTATAAAAGATGCCATAAAAACAACACAAAGTATTGGAAACCAGCTGACAGAGTCCTAGAAAAAATCATAACATGAAAATAAATATATATATTCAAGATACAACACAAATACACACTATATATTTCAACGCAATTCCCAAACCGATAAGCGATATAGCACAGGCCCCATACGAGATCAGCATACAGGGTCGCCGATTACAACGTTCCATCAAAACAAAGCTCACCAGTCCAAATACGAAATTCAATACACCAGCGCCGAAATTTAACCAAGTAGCATTTTCGCCAGAGAATCCACATTTCGTAAAAATTCTTACTGAATAAAAGAAAATGCCATTTATGCCACTCAAGCCCTGGCAAGCCATAAACGATACGACAATTAGTAGAGGCAAACAGAATTCGGAGTTCTTTAGTACAGCGCCGAAGCTGAGTATTTCACTGCTCTCCGCTGCAGACGCTTTCATTTCGGCAATTTCCGCGTGTATCGCATCCTCGGCATTTTCACCACGTAAACTACGCAGTGACTCCTTTGCCAATTCCTCATTCTTACGCACCTTCATTAGCCAACTCGGCGATTCGGGAAACCAGAAAGAAGGCGCAAAACCAAACAGCACACAACTCACATAGAAGCTCAAGGCCAAATCCCAATAGTCTTCGTTACCGAACACTTGTTGCAAACTGAAGACTTGACCCATAACAATGCCGCCAGTGATGCCGAGTAGTGTGAATACACCGGCACTGCCGCGTAAATGTATCGGCGCACACTCCAACAAGTACATGGGTTGGGCTGTGAAGATGAGCGCAGACGAGATGCCGATTAGAAAGCGACCCAAAAGCAACAGCTCCACGAGCTGTACCATACGACAGACGTACAAAAGTAAGCCAGCAAATAGTAATAGATTGCTGCTAATGAGCAGGCAACCCTTTCTGAAATGTGCAGAAAAAAAGTAAGAAAAAAAACAGAAATAAATATAAAGGCTATACTCAAGTAGAAACATTTTCTTTCAACTTCACCTTCCGAATCTGTTACTTATAGGACCCGAAACGAAAGAGCCCATAATGCCACCAACTTGAAAAATAGAAACTATACTCGCCCAGAGTATATCGAGATTCGTTGCATTAAGCTCAACGCCATACCTTTTGGACACACTGGCAGTAACCCACTTTTTTATGACCTACGGCATAGGTGAGACATGCATTGGTTTAAATGTTAATTTATGAAAAGTGAACAATAAACACTTTCCCACCTCGGCTGGCGTATTCATGACACCCAACGCATATCCGACGGGTATAACCGCCCCAATGGTGGTCGCAACACAAATCAGCAGCAATATTGGCGTCCACCCAACTCTTTTGGGCTGTTTATAATTAAATTTTATTTTATTAAAAGTCATTGGTCAGATCCTACTAAATTTTTTTGTACAATTTTTACTTACATCATCTGGCATTTTGAGTTACTTAAACTTATTTATTTATTAAATATACAAAAATAAATAAAAATTAAAATTAAAATATATGTATGTACATATATACATATATACAAATATATTTATATTTTTTTTTATTTTTTGAAAGAAAATGTTTTGTCAAAATTATTACATTTCCAGACGATGCGCCGTGCGGTCTGTGTTCATTACAAAAATTTCCCAAAAATTACAAACACAAAAAAAAATTATCGTTATTGTTATAGTGTAATCAGAAATAATTTGGAAAAAATTTCTTTGACAAAATTTAATGATATAATTAACTATTACATACTTGCTATACTATTGTATTTCTCATTTCCGTGTAAAAGTATGCTCTCTTATTACTGATTCGCTATCTCATTCCTAATTAGCAGTCCATTCCATGTGATTAGGCAGAGAAAAATTGTGAATGTACTCATTTATGAGAGACTCAATCTACGGCAGCGGTAGCCGAGTGTTTATCATTGAGTATTGACATTGGGAAGGCCATAGTTCGAATTCAGATTCGACAAACATCCAGAAGTTTTAGAAAAAAATTAAAAAAAAAAAATCAGTTAATTTTTAGCACAGCGTCGCCTTTCGGCAAAGAACCTCTCTTATAGGAGCACTTGCAATTGACATGAACAAGAGAATTCCCAAGCACTGCAATGTTTTTCAAGCAGTAATGCAGTAATGAAAGCCGCTTCATGGTCACCTTAACTCGGGTAAAGTATCTTAGTCTAACACATTATATTCTGACAGCGAAACTGCCATTAAATCTTTTCATTGTAATCGCACACAAAGGTGGCAATAACTCCTAAGCAAACTCTCAGCGAAACAACCGACCGGATATACATACATTCCAGGAAATTACGAGATCGACGAGTTAGCAAAAGCCATGCTAAGTCTCTAATGGGAACTCATGGTAGAAGGATGGGCTACTTCTCTAATGACTTCTTACGCGGCTGCACACACATAGACGAGGAGGAGTAGGTGTAACACTACCATTCCCACGCCCTAAGTGCAGCCCGGCTTCGTTTCCTAGGCAATTTATATTATGACTGCCTTGCACATTTAGCGTCAGCAAGTGGCAAAAGTCTCGTGTGTTTTATTAACCAAATCAAGTGATATCACTATTTATAAATGTGAGAGGAATATCTTCTATAGACCCCCCCCATAAGTATCAAAGTATTAAGTGTTTAATTTTTTTATTGATTTGACCACTTATATGTATGTCGGATCACGTCTTTGCAGCTCAAAGCCTCAGTGTCAGTACGAATGCCTCGAAGTCAGTCAAAGGCACTATTCGAATCTACACTTATTCACACTCAAGTTAAGGTGAACACCTAGTGTAATGGCCTAAAAAAAAAAATTTTAATTAAAAAAATACTTTATTAATTATTTCAAAATTTTAAGTTTACACTGTGTCTCAAAAATAACCGAACTTTTTGAATATAAAATAACACAATATATTATCTTTGAAACTTATAATTTATTCAAAACAGGTTCCATTTGACTCAACACAACGTTTGGAACGATCAACCAGCGCATGCATAGATTTTTTTATGCTGCTTGAATGACTGGGATATCATCATAAAATGCTCCCTTCATCTTGGTTTTTAGTTTTGGAAATAAAAAATAGTCACATGGTGATAGATCAGGCGAATATGGAGGATGGTCGATGAGAGAAATCCCTTTTTATCATTAAAAGTTCGAGCGATTTTTTGGTCGTCATTTAATTCATGTGGAACAAATCGCGCACAGACCTTTCTTTTCCCCAAATCTTCAGTTAAAATTCTCCAAATAGTGTTTTTACTCGTATTCAATTCCTCAGCCAACATTCTCGTGATAAAATTTGCATCGATACCAATGATTTCACGGACTTTTTCCACCAGTTCAGCACGATCACTAGTTTCTGGACGTCCTGCTCTAGAGTCGTCATTTAAATCCTCACGACCATTTTTAAATCGTGTAAACCACGTATAAGCTTGCGCACGACTCATACAATCATCACAATAAATATTTTTCTTTAATTTTTTTTTCAAGTTTGACACAAAATTTTATATTTGCTCTTTGTTCCATTTTATTTTTGAACCATTAGCACACTTTTGGTTTTATTGAAATGGCTGTCACTTTTACATCTGTCATCCGACTTACATGATGTTGTTGTTGAAAGAGGGTGAATGTATCTTTTTAATGTTGCAAATTTTCAATAGATGGCGCTGTATGTTGTATGATTTAAATATAAAATTCGATTATTTTTAGGACACACCGTGTTTATTTATACATGTTGCGAGAATATTTAGTGAAATTTTTGAAGAAAAAAATTAAATATTTTTTAGGTTATAGTCGATCTCAAACGGCGCGAAAAAAAGGTCCTTCACTGCTGCAGTGATTCCGGCATTCTCCGTGAAATCTATAAAAAAAATTCTCGATGAGATAATATTGTTTGTACAATGACCTACGACAAAAAAAAACCAAAAATTGACAATATCGCGGCGTTTTAAAAAAAAAATTCTCGAATTTCACCCAAAATTTGGGTCGTTTTTGGCCAGATCAGATCAAAAATCGATAGGTCATTGTACGGAGATCAATATATAGAACTTGTAAAAACAATTCGATAGTGATCGGATCATTTGTTTTTGAGTAACCACTGCAGGAAAATCGGAAAATGCTGTTTCGAGAAAAACGCATTTAAAGATAAAATGCCTTAATAACTTTAGTCAATCTGTCGGTGATCCATTTCCCATACAGAAAGAAATATTTATATTTCGAGCAATTCGGAGGGGGATCCAGGCCTCTAGTGCCATTTAGACAGAAAATCCAAAAATTTGACTACAACGAACTATGAAGAGGTTTAACTTCACGTAAAAAAGAATAGCAAGCAAATCAAACCTTTAATATGATTAATCTGATCCAAAAAGTCCGCCATGCCAAGTCCGCAGTAGGGAGAGCCATTCTGTTAATTTAAGCAAAAAGCCACCTAAGTCGTTAGTTTACGACGACTCTTGACAGCGAGAATCCATGATGTTCAGATGACATAGTTAATAATCTAATAAGGAAAGCAATACCTTGAAGACGACCCGAAATGTGTTTTTTAGTAAAAATTAGAGTAAGACGTGATGTAGAGTAACATTGATTTAATCAAAAAAATGTTTATCAATCATCTTATTAGGTAATAAAAATGTATTATATGTAAAAATATAGAGATTTTTCTCTTCAAAAAAGAAATACATACAGCCTTGGCCAAAAGTATTAGGCACCCCACTAATTACTGAACATTTTGTTTTAGCTAGTGAAATAGTGACGTTTTATTAGTAAAACAGTGAAAATACAATGAATTAGTGATAATAACATTAATATTTAGTAGGTCTACCCCTCTATTTAATAACGGCAGCAATTCTCTTAGTCATGCTGCGTACAAGCTTTGCACATTCGCCCGCACTTATAGCGTACCACTCGTTAATTAAGGCATTCTTTAAGGCAGTGCTCAATGGGATTAACATGTGGAGTCTGTGCAGGCCAATCCAAGAAAACAATTTTATTATCTCTGAACCAACGCATCGTAGTCGCTGGTTTGTGACAAGGAGCAGCCCCTGGTCATAATGCGAGCTCATTCCAAACGATTTTTCTATTCTTTTCTGAGAGCCACTGCTTCTTTCGGACTTTACATCCTTTTAAACCTGCTTCCAGAAGTATTCTTCCAGCTGTTCGAGCACTAACTGGTTTACTAAATTCATCCAAAAGCGAAACTGCAAGAGCAGAAGAAGATTTTTCGCGATCCTTGAGAGACTCGCGTATAAGTATTCGATCTTCTCGCTTACTTGTTAGATGCTTGCTCTCACTTTTTGATTTATTATTGCGGGATTTCGTCTCCACAAATCGCCTGATAGCACGTTGAACCACGCACCGCGAACATCCCATGGCAATCTCAACCTGGGACTTACCTTCTTCACTTAGAATTTGAATTCTAGCTCTATCTATGACTTTTTATATTACACAAGTTATTCGTTTAATCCACAGTTAAACATCCATGTAAGACATTTACAAAAATAAGTGGTAACATTGATAGTCACAATTGAGAATACTTCTATTTTACTGGGGTGCCTAATACTTTAAGCACTATCATGAGCCAAGGACTCAAAATAAAACCACGAGCTCTCTCAAGAGTATTTCTGGTACAAATAATGACATTGAGTGAAGATAATCAGCCCTTTTCCCCACAATCAAGTCTTAATATCTGAAACTACAACCAGAATTGGTATGGCTAATGGACTAAAACTTGGGATGAAATGCTGAATATTTTTATGAGTAACCATTTCCCAGGAGGCTCTACAGACTACAACCAACTCCCACGCAGGAGAATCGAGTATATTTTTGATATCAGCAACGTTGTGTGTCGCAGAAAGGAGGAGTGGGTGATAAAGTCATTTCAACTCCATAAATCTCCAAGGTTAGATGGTATCGTCCCAGCTGAAAAAGTTGAGTGAGGGGTATTTGAACTCGGGCTAAAGTAATGTTTATCCCAAAAGATAACAGAGCCAACTATGTTAGTCTGAAATACCTTTACCCCATAAGTCTCACCTTTTCCTTTCAAAAATCTTAGAGAGGCTACTCCACCAAAGTCAAATATCTCGAGATAATCTTAAATAGCAAACTCAGCCCTCTTGCTGGATTGCACCGCCTCCAGTATGCGCTTCAACAAGAACCCTTCTATGCATAATAAAACATCCAGACGGTGCAGTTTTATCTTTGTCGACTGCAAAGTATTTGCTAAAACTGGACACATGGCTGAATGGAATCACGTGCAATGTAACAAGACAGTTAGAGCCAAAATGGGACGTGAAAATATCTTATCTTATCTTATATATATATCCCTGTAGACCGGTTCTCCATGAGCATAACGACAGGTCACCATCCAATGATTTTTGCCGCAGCTGCAGGGACGAAGAAGAGTAAGAATCATTTGAGCATTACCATGACATCTATGCGACACAATTTCCTCGTGAAATACTTCTTTGACTGTCTCGTTGAGATATATACATATATATATATGGCGCTTTGTAACGCTGAAGCGATTCTTCGGCCGAGCTCCTCCTCTAATCTGTTTTTCCAACAAATGGAGGAACCTCTAGTTTATACTAAGCCGCCTCCGAACGGTTGATGGTTTTTATGAGCAGCCTTCATTTCATGTTACACACGGAAGCGTTGACATTCCCTGCCGAGGGGCGACCGCAATTAGAATATTCGGCTTCATTTTTTATTTAAACTAAAGTTTGTATAACTTTTTGAATGTTAGTACGACACCAGGATTTGAACCCGAGCCTTCCGAATAGCAGTGCGCAGTACTAACCACTCGGCTCCGGGGCTGCAGATAGTTATCTGTAGCAAAAATAGGTAATCTCCTTGCTTTTATAAGGCATACGTAATGGTTCGAACAGTTGAGAAGGATAGGAGCCTCACAGTGGTATCAAAAAAGGGTTAAGGGCTTTGGTCACTGACCAGCAGCCACATCAATTTAACTCAACTCAAGTTTTAATAACTGAACTGTAAACCACTTATCATCCTTCAGTTTGATTTTCCAAAAATTAACCTTATTTTTTCTAACCGCTCATAAGCTACAATACTCTGCTCTCCTACAGTACGGTGCACTCTACCAAGACGACGGTCTAACATTTTGATTTTTTATCTATTTTCTCAACCTTTTCTTTCTTGTTGAAGCGGCTACTCAAAAAATTTGCTAACCATCTGCGCAGAATCCTTCATCGCTCTCTGGCGAGAGAACCAGTGTCTACTAATGTGTTCAAAGAAACTCTTTGATCGTAAGAAATATCGTCATAAGAACGACGTCAAAGCCAAGGAAACACCACAGAAACACGTTCAATTTCGGACTCTGGAGATAGGCAAAGTGAACAGTTGGTGGCAGTAGCGATTTCTCAGCCGTACGGTCAAAAGTTAAGCGCATCGAAATAATAGAAAAAATCTGTAGCGGCACGCGTGTGACTTATGACATTATTTTTAATTATTTTTTTTTTAATTTTCGGCTTTCATTTAATATAAATATATAAAAAAAAATCGAAATAGAAAATGTTAAATTCGGTGTTTTCGAGAAGTGTGAAATTAATTTAATAAAATTATAGTGAAATTCATAAAGAAAAAAATATGCTTACTTCAAAAATAGAAAAAAAATAGAAAAACTACGTGAAATGTAATTAAAAAAAGAAAAATTGAATTAATATCAATTATAATACGAATATCTTTTTAAACAAATAATTGTAGTTTTTTTTATCGTGCAAAACAAGCAGTAAAATAGAAATGAAGTAAATATTCGAAATTGTTTAGTTTTTAGAAAGAAATGTAAAGAAAGCTGCATGCCTGTGGATATGTTTATATACGAGTACATACTCGTATGTACCTTAAATACGTACGTACGTATTGTATATATGATAAATTGTTGTTGAGATTAGCGAATTGTGTACATTTTCTATAGTGACGTCACATAGCATCTTAAGGTACACAAATGCAATAAGAAATCTACGCACAGAATTTTACATGTTACATACAAGCAGGTGTATATGCATGTATGTACATTCCCATCTTTCTGTTTTGACTTTATTGTTATTTTATCTTAAGTGCACATGACCGTAAATACATTTGGTTGAATATTTTCTTTTTTTAGCTTTTTTATAATTATTTTTTTTTCTTTATATTTTCTATAAATATTATATGCATGCTGGCCGCATTTACAATAAACAAATGATCCTAACTCGAAAAAATGGTGTTTTTAACATTAACAGTCCTATTCTCATTTTTACCGGTAAAGTAAATTTTGTTACTTTTCTTTAAAACCCGAAATTGAATTTGATATTCTGGCGAACTGGTAATAAAGTTTGAAAAAAAATTTGGCAGCACTGCTTTTTTCGTCCATGTCAAATTACATTTGCCAGTTGATAAAGTAAAAAGAAAAATATTCCCTTAAAAATGGAAGACGGTGCACAAAAAAATTAAAAGTTTTATTAATTTGTTTATTAAATCATAAATATTTGAAGCTAATTATGGAATATATGCCTGGACAACAAAAAAAAACTGAATGAAAACGTTAACTTACAAATTAAAGGACTATTTTTGAGTCTCGAAAACTTCTTAAAATACGGCTTTTTGCACTTTTTTCTTCATTTTCAATGAAGTCCAGGCCTAAAATATGCCTACCCATTTAGGTTTTTTACTTTTTTCTCAAACTTACAACAGAAAATCAAACAGCAGATATTTTTGTTACCTCATATTTCGCTGGTAACAAAATTTACAGGGTGACAGTGAACTCAGAATACGAAATGGTAACAAAATTTACTGAATGGTAAATTTTAGTCCCAAAGTAAATTTTGTTACCTCGACAAAATAGGCCTGTTAATAATGGTTATTGTTGGGATTTCTCTCTTAGAGAATTACAGCTTCTTCTATAAAACAAATTTAAAGCCTCCTCCTATGCATTAACTCATACGGTTTTTTTTTTTTTTTTTTTTTTGAAAAGAAAGACTTTATTGTGAAAAAATGATTTTAATCGTCATAGGTTGCTTGATCAACTCCTAATACTTTTGCAAGTTTTTTTTGCGTCTGGCATGCATACGTGTATGCGTTGAGCAATGTCTTCAATTCTTCGTCGTCTGGTCGTCTAAGTCGAAATTGCCACTCTTAAACCGGGCAAACCATGGTCACAATAAACGTCCAGTAAAATACGATGGCTTTCGGTAGCACTTTTTTTCATGTCAAAGTAATGAAGAAGAACTCCCCGCAAAAACACTTTATCTGGTACAAATTTCGATATTTTCAAATGAATGAAACAAATTGTTGTTCACGCTAAAACAAAAGACATCTACTGAAAACGACGCGAAATGACAGTATCTTTAAAATTAATATAGCCACAGAACCCGCACGAATTAATGCATAAACCTAATATTTTTATCGCTCAAAATTCATTTAAAAAAGCGGACATTTTTGAAGACTGTAAATAAGGTTATTAATTTCTTATCTCTTTAGTATAGGGCTATATTTTAACACCTGGCAATTGGTAAAATTTTAAGGAAATTTGAAGAGACTGGTTCGGTTACAGATATTGTCAGGTATGTGTATCATCGTTCCATTTTAAAAATCACTACTGCAAGTAAAAGCGTAGCTAAAGACACGAATGTGTCTATTTCTCGGTGTTTTTAAAAGCACATTACGGCATACAAGGTATGATAATTAAGTAATGAGATTGATTCCTTAAAAACGGTATATTTAAAAATTATTCTACAACTCTGCTATCCCCTTCAAATTAGTCCCCTGTGGCAGCTATACAACGATGACAGCGCGTTTTTCATGCTTCGTAACATTTCTGGAAGGCTTCGACTGGGATGTCCGCGAGTGCCGTCATTACGGGCGCCTGGATGCCCACAATCGACTCAAAATGGGTTACTTTGACCACCGATTTTGTTCTGGGAACAAAAAAGTCACATGGTGACATATCGGGGGAAAAAGGCGGTTGTTGCAACACGGCGATCCCTTTAGAGGCTAAATACTGAAACGCGGTGTGCCACGGCGCTTTGTCGTGGCGGCTGATGAGTTTTGAAGATTATATTTTGATTTCATTTCAGACAAACACTCGGAGGGGTTGACATTCCCTACCGAAGGACTACATCCGCACCGCTAATCGCTCGGCTTTCATCCAGTTCTGAAAGGAAACCCGCTTTAGCTTCTTCTATGTATGTAGGTGAACTTATCCTTTCTCTACCACAATTTTTCGTTTGCTTTCTTCGCAGCAGAATTCTGGTTGGGCGCACTCAAACTGACGCTCTCTCGTTGACTTGAAATTATCTGTTGCTTTCTCAGCAAGCTAAAGCCTCTTGTATCATTCATCTGCGCCTATTACAGTAACACATCGTTTTTAGAAGTTAAACGTCACATCGCATTATCTTTTTGTTGCCTACGGAATAACGCTATTCACTTCTGGTGGGAAACATTTATTACAACAATAAAAACTGAACACGATATCCAAAACAAATATTTATTTATTTTCCACACCATGAACATTATAATTAATTCTTATTATCCCAGAACTCTTTCCACGAGGCGTCATTTTGTTGACCAATTCAATTCATATAGTACATAAATTCATACCTACATATATATATATATATATATGTAAATTTATTTATATTTATACCCGTTGAGTGCAACACCAAAACTGTCTGTAGGCTTTTGCCAATGCAATAGTTGTCTCGCCGTCGCTGTCATTGCCTACCACCACTGGCTATCGTCATCGACCGCAGTGCGCGCGTTTTTTGAGGAATATCTCGTATCAGGCTCACGTCGCGTTGTTGGCGTGTTATCGTTGACGTCGCACAAAAAATTTTGTATTTACATACACACATACCTACCTATGCGTGTACGTACATATACCAAAGATGCGGAAGAGTCCAAAAATATTTTGTATTGCTCTTAGATCTGTCGTGCATGGTACATGCACATGCTGAATTGCGCTAACACATACATACATACACGTACATGCTTATGCACATTTATTTTGATTTTATGGCCAAACGGATTATTTAATGTAATTTCCTGGCTACGTTTCGATTTCGAGTCGTAAGTATAAATATTTTAAATACTTTTGTAAATTAAGTACGAAAAATTCTTAATTGGAAACATATTTATTTAATAATAATTTTAATTGTTTTTTTTTTTTGCCTGCAATATCGATCGAAAATTGTGAGGCATTTATCAGTTCTCTAAAGATAATTTTGAAATTTTCTTTAATTTATAAAAATAAAATTTATAAAATAATTGTTGGGGGTACAACAACCGAACAAATTAACTCGAGTTGTTCTCAAAAGATGACTTCAGTTGGGACCGGTTTGAAAAAATAGATAGGAATAAAAGTGCAGCTGCAGCACATGGAATACCGTTGAAGTTTATGGTGAATCTACGCCGACCGGTATGTCATGCAGAGAGTGGTTTCGATACTTCAAAAGTGATCATTTTATCATCGAAGACAAAGAGCGCTTACACCTTCCGACTATTGGATTTTTCGACTTAAGTAAAACAATGATGATGCCACCGGTTCGGGTATTTGAAAGAAAGCAAAGAATGGCTTAATGATTAACACAGTTCATTTTTTTAGAGATGACACTCGAAAATTAGCTAGAGATGGGAAAAAGTGGTCGCTTCTGACGGGCAATACTTAGTAATTCCAAAATGATATATTTTTTGTTTTTTTTTTTTAATGAAAAGTATTTAGTTGAAGATCACGTTGAGATCTTCCAAAAACAGTTTTTTTTTACATATTTATATGAAAACTTTGAGCCAAGGATGCCAAGTATATTTTATTGTATAAAATGGTAAATTAACTTGGGTCCGAAATAGGTAAAGTATCAGAAGATGGATACAAAGATCGGATCATAAGGACGAAATGAGTTACACCAACCAATGCGCTACTTTGTGAGATATTCTCAAGGGGGTTCTTCAAATTCGACACCGCCGTATTTTTATCTCTGAGGCTACTTGAATTCACAGATTTATATTAACAAGCCAAGACTATGGGCGTACATTTGTCTGCAAATAACTGTCATATCGTTTAAAATATTGGCCATCCGAGCTCGCGATTTTCATTTTCGCAATATTAAATGATTTTTCAGTTGTACATAAAATATTTTTTTTTTTTTCATGGAGGACGAATTATTTACTAATTTAGTCATTAAAGCTAGAAAGTGAGAAAATGTTTGCGATGAGTAATCAGTGCTCTTAACCTGCATAACTGAGCCATAGTCATACCAGATATTAAATATTCAAAAGTCAAATTAAAGGTGTCATACCATAACATACGAGGTGTGTTCAAAAACTATCGCTAATTTTCTCCTAGTTGTAACCATAGTCACGCCCCTAACTATCGATTTTTGAGACCATAACCACAAACAGCTGATACATTCAATCAAGGCGAATTTATAAAAGATGAAGTTGCCACATCATATGATTGGTTGTTCTTTCTTCCATTTCAACAAATTGCACATGAGAAATAAGGTTTTGACAATAAGAACTTTCTATTACAACAACGAAATACATAGACTTTTTGTTTTTGTATTCTTGCTGCTATCGCGTTTGACTGTGACTCTGCTTTGCATTTGCATTTCAATACGAAAGCTGTACACAAACCTACCGAATGAGCTGTAAATTGGAAATTTGAATTTCTGAGTATTTTTACATTTTACGCGAAAAGAAATCATTCAAGATGTGATATAAAATGTTTTGAAAAAAAGGATGTAAACAAAAATTAATTCTTTGCCCATACAGCATATCACAAAAAGTCTCGTAAAAAGTAATTCACTTTTTTTGCATTCAATTGAAGGGTATACGAAGCCTAAGAATTATCCAATTAATGTCAAATGTGCAATGTTTTGCTCGATAACTTTTTGCGATTTTGAAGGTTTTGTCATGATGCCTCTCTCTTTGTCCCTCTTTCAAAATATTGAGACAATCGACTTTCACAGGCTCATCTGAAGACAAATTCTTCACTAGTCAAATCATTCGTCATAGACAGGCACAGATGGTA